TTATTCCACTCACTCTGAACTGCTTCCCAAAGCTTGTTTAGGAAATGTTTTTCCTGACAATGAACTGGAAATAATAGCCGGAATATCCTCAAAATGGATTTAAAACATTTAAAACAAATATCCTCAAAATGGATTTAAAACATTTAAAACAAATATCCTCAAAATTGATTTAAAACATTTAAAACAAATATCCTCAAAATGGATTTAAAACATTTAAAACAAATATCCTCAAAATGGATTTAAAACATTTAAAACATATCCTCAAAATGGATTTAAAACATTTAAAACAAATATCCTCAAAATGGATTTAAAACATTTAAAACATTTGATGCAATGTTTGGACCAGGCCAATTATTAGTTGAATGATCAGCCAACCATTTTTTAGTAAGCTTACCTGTGTTTGCGGGAGCCTAGTCCTGTTGAAATATCATGCTTTGTGATATTCCCAGATGCTGAATACTTTGGCAGAAGTCCTTTTTCTATTGACTTCACACCGTATCAATTTGCCAACACCTGCAGCTGTAAAAGCTCCCTACACCATTATTCCTCCGTTCCCATTTCTTTTGATGCAACTTAGCAGAAATCCTTCACATGATCTTCTAATGCAGCGTTCGGGGTCATCACTTGAGAGAGAAAATCGTGAAATCAAAATTTGGTTTGAAATCAAACCTGATAACGTTACTAAACCGCTTTTCTTCTTTCTTGTCATAATAGGAAGCAAATGCCTTTCCATAATTGATCTTCTTGGTTAATAAGTGTTTTTCTGCACATCTTTTTGCAGTGAATCCAATTTCATTCAATCTTCAAGACATTGTAATTCTAGAAAATGAGTTCCCATTTGCTGTTTTAAATTGTTCAGGATGATCAACAAAGGTTTTTGTAGAATAACAATAATAAACAGCAGTTACCGGCGTAAGAGTCCCAGCTAGCGTCCAGCTGGCAGACAAAAATAAAGCAGGTTGTAACTTAATACAAACCCTGCAAACTAACTGAGAAATCATGCTAGTATTTATATAGAAATACTTCCACTCAGGTACCAGCAGCCAATCACAGCCCAAGCAATGGACTATCCCACTTTAGCATAATGAGATGCTCCATTGCACCATAAATAGCTCTCTTTCTCAATGTTGAATTTGTATTCACTCAGCTTGCTCCACAACTGAGTGTTTATCTTGACCACGTGATTGTTCGACAGTTTTCTTCCGATCTTTCATAACAGTCATTTTCAGCCTGTGGTCATCCTTGCCTGTGGAAGCTCTAGGGTGGCCAGTGTTGACCATGTTCACCATAGTCTATGAATATAGAATACAGAGCAGTATGTAATCTGTTCAATGAAACAACGTTAAATATTAATACTCTCGAGTCAGATATTTTACTGAATCTGACTATATAACCAATACCACCAGCAGCTGTTCCGTAATTCTTCAGTCTTTGATATCAAAAACCCCAAAATCCCAACAGCCAGAACCTGATTTCCTTGATACAGAACCTTCTGTTTAGTAACTTAAACGAATTTGCTTCACAGTTGACAGAGGTTTTTCAACAATTTCTTTCTTTGAAACATCAAAAATGTCCTCATAAATCAAATTTACCTGCCTTAATCCTGCAATTCTGTTTTTTGTTTCCTCGTCAAGATGTTTGTTTTTCTTTTTGTCTGGGGGTCATTTTAAATTAGAAAACTTATGATGTAATGCTATTAATCTGTAAAATAAAAAGTATCCGTTAATACTACATGAAAAACACATCATACCTATTTTTTTTTATAATAATACCTTGACCCATTTTTAACAGGAGTGTGTATATATATATATATATATATATATATATATATATATATATATATATATATATTTGCATGAATCATTCATATAAAAAACAGATTAGTAAAGTTAATAACATAAATGGCGAGAATACATCTTCGCAAACAAATTTATTAAAATTACATTAATCCACGAACCTATCGATGAATGTTGTGATCACTGTTTTTAATAAATTCAACTTGTATAAGGTCTTTTTTGCAAGTACTTTTATCTGTTCATACAGACATCATCATGCATGGAAATTGCTTTGTTTTTGTTTTTTTAAATACATCCAGGTAATAACGGGACACGAAAGATTAGATGTGAGTCGAAATATGTTTTTTTTTAAATGTGTTATTGTTAACTGTAAGTAATTTTGGAGCGTGCGGTCGCAACGCTAAAGTTGAATTTTTTGAAAATTTAAAAGAGAGTGCGTTTTTTTTTTTCTAATATGGTAATTGGAGAATTCTTCTGTTGTAGTAGATTTTTTTCAGTCGATGGGCATGAACTAAATTGTTCAATAAATAGAGCAATGTCGCATCTGTTATCCCAGAAGTTGCACGTCGGATCAGTTCTTTTAAATCAATATGTAGTGCAGTTCAATTTATATTACATGAATCATTTATACATATATATATATATATATATATATATATATATATATATATATATATATATATATATATATATATTCCAGTCGAACCCATTACATTCACTTACGTGCTAATACCCTTAGAAAAGGTATAAATCCTATTCATCTCCCTCCGACTATGGGTAAATAACAGGAAAGACTGGGTTCTATAGCCTTGGATGGCAACTGGTCCAGGAGAAGGAAAACTCTGAATTCAAAACCTGCGTAGGGTCGTTTGGGGACCTTGTGGCACGTAGTGCACCCGGACTCTGTATTAGGCCCTTCAAAAAGTGTGGATGGTCTTGCACGAAACCTTCACTACTATAATCAAATCATATGTGCTGGTGTCGGACTGTCGGTTTCCTGTGAACTGCTTGAGCCTCACGTATATATATATATATATATATATATATATATATATGTGTGTGTGTGTGTGTGTGTGTGTGTGTGTGCGTGTGTGTGTGTTATATGGAGTCACATGTACTGCTCAGTGGTGGTGTGTTTAGGGCAAGGTAGCATGATCTTGATGTAACCCATTCCTCTTTAGTCTTGAATTCAAAGATTTCCTTCTTTTTTTTCGTGAATCAATTCACCCCCAAAAAGGTGATAATTTCACTAAGATGCAAGCGGGCTACAGGGAGTGAAAGAGAATAAGATTTTCAAAGTAACCGAAAACCCAATTCTAAACGGGATCTATAGGTTTTACATCTAGTCCTTTTCCAAAAGACTGAGGGGTTTGTGAACCGAACGATAAGCGAACCTATCTACTCCTGTTAAGGATACAAATAAAAATAAATAGTAAATAAAAGTTTGGAGTTTAGGCGGAGTAACAGAAGTACAGACTTTATCAAAGACAGTGATGAATATTTCATGCGACAAAGTTTGTTTTTTTTTCATTTTCTGTGTTGTTTTCATAGAATCCATAATCACCTGGGTGTTTATTATAAAATCCTTCATGGACTTTATCTTTAAAAAAATATTTTTAGTTGTGATACAATTTACTTAGACTCGTTGCTATCTTAAGGCAGTTCCTGTGTATGACGATAAACTACATCCGGCAGCAAGGCCTCTGATCGGGAGATTTGAAGATTTCAGGAGTACAGAACCATCGTTTAATTGCTGTACTTCCCATGTCAACTTAAACCCGGGGTAGTAGTACCTGTTAGGGCTATGGTTTGATACCAAGTGTAACCGAAAACTTCTTGGTTCAGCAGCTATAGCCCATAGGTGGTAGCACCTGTTAAAATCCCAGCTTTGGACATATAGTGAACACCCAAACAAAAACAAAACACTATGAAAGTATAAAAATTTTATAGTAAAAATACCAGCAATAGTTTTTTTTTATATAAAAAAATTATCATTACCTATTTATAGTAAAATTAGCAACAATATCAATTTATATTAAAATTACCAACTGTATCTATTCATAGTAAAATGGCCAACAATATATTTTATCTACAATTCCGTTCAAAATATATTTAGTCGAAGCCATAAAATTGTGTTCAAAATAGATTTTGCCATTGAATAGCCCATAGATATGTTGATATGCCGCTTTACAAAATGACCAATAATACATTTTATCTGTAGCTGAAGGTATACAATTGCGTTCAAACTATATTTAGTTGAAGCCATAAAATTGTGTTCAAAATAGATTTTGCCATTGAATATCTCATAGAGATGCTGATATTCCGCTTTACAAAATCAACAAAACTATCAATTTTAAGACATAGAGCTCATTCTCCCCTGATCTAATCCGTAATTAGTGGGAAAAGTGCTGGAGTTATACCTTTTCCAAGATTATTTGTGCGAAAGTGAACCCTGCCAGATTTAGAAATTCGGCCTGCTGAGTTCTCTCTTTTGAGTCAATAACCACTACACTAGTCGCATATTCGTGTGTCCCATCAACGGAGGATGAAATTTAGAAAGCCCTGAAGAGAACCGGGACAGACAACCAACAGTAATTCGATGGTCTCCATAACCTACTGTACTTGATACTGCCGGATAGGTTTCACCCCATTCTGGTCCTGATCTTCAGCAACTGGAGGACGAACCGGAATATACGCCCACTCTTCACCGAGGGTGTGGTGAAGTTGCCACGCAAGAACATAGGGGAAAGTTGTATTATTTATTTTCAGCTCTTAGCTATGTTAACCACAGGGTTAATGATTTGGGCCAAGATGTTAAGAAACCGACTGCAGGCTGGGATGGTTCTTTAAAATTGTGTTGGGAAGAGTAATACGATTCAGGATAACTTACATTTGGTACGCATTATCCGAGAGAAAGTCGACAATCAAACTGCGCTCATCGATTTATATAATTACAAAGCGTTCTACAGAGTTGGCCAACGTTTCCTGGAAGCTGTCTTGTCCACGATCGACTTCAAGCCGGACTTCCGCTCCTGGATCCACCAATTCCGCAGAGGAGTGGTGTAAAACCGAAGCCTTTCATATTGTCCAGATCTATTCGCTGATGTTGTCCGTTTTCAGCCATGTTTTCGTACGTCGTGTTTGTATGACAAAATATGACTTTCCCTAAATTACCTAACTGTGACGATACGCTGGTAATGGCTTATGGTCATATGACGTGGAAACACTGGTTCCCTTACAATCATCGAAGTTAAGCAGCGTCCAGGCTGGTCGGTACCTAGATGGGTGACCGCTTTGGATTACCAGTTGCTGTAAGTTTAAATGAGAGGGTGGGATAATAGATAATGGCCCGGAATTGTTAATCAGAGAGCCTTGTTTCAATTCTGGTTGGGTTCGTTATTTTCGCTTATGCGCAAATACTCTTGGGAAAGGCATGAATCCAACACTTCTTAAGTATTAGAACCATCAAACCATTATTATCTCCCCCCCGCCATCTTACTATCTAAAATTTATTCCTGGCTAAAGATGTAAGTGGTTGGTAGGCCGTAGAAAATGTAGTTGTCACGCTGGCATCGGTATTACATGGAACCAATTTCTTTAGTGTAATGAGGAAGGTGCTACCGCAGAATTGGGAATTTCCTGAGATGAGCAACTTCTCCCACCTAAAATTAGGATAATCATAGCTCCACTTACAGCACGGGGGGGCGTTAACTATGCCTCAGTAAAACCTCATTGCTCATAAGCTAGGTAAATCAAAAAGGTAAAGAAATGTAGGATTTTGATTGCTGATATTTAAAGGAAGTAAACTGCTACCAGTTGAAACATTGGCGCAACACGTTGCCATTTACTTGTATTAAGTTGGCCAGAAAGTCCTGACTCACTTAGGAAGCGGAAAGGAAAATTTTATGAAGAAACACCAACAATTATAAAGTCCATCATTCTCGACGTTCTTCGGTTAGCATCCGAATCTGTCCCTGATACCAGCTCGCTGGCTTTGAATGAACAGACTGTAAGCAAGTTTCCTTCACTTCATCGAAACTGTTGAATCGCTTGCCGCGGAGGAAATGTGAGACTGAGCGGAATAGGCCATAGTCACACAGAGTAGAATCGGGGTTGAATGGTGGATGTGGAAGAATCTCAACACCGTCCATCTGTTTGAGGCTATGTCGAAGGGTAGAGCCTTGTCTCGGGAAACAGCTACCAGACTCCGTTTTATACGGCGTCTACGGGAAATTTTTGGCTGAGCCTACGAGCTCGAATACTCCACAGTAAATTTGGCCTTGTGCCACATTTGACCGCGTGGGGCAGTTGGTAGATATCCTGCACTTCGCTATTCGTCTACAGCTGTGCTAGTCAAAGTTTCTGTCTTTAGACAGAGAGGATTCCCAGTTGAGACTATGTCGAAGGGCAGAGTCTCGTCTTGGGAAACAGCTACCCGACCCTGTTTTATACGGGGTTTACGGACAGTTTTTGGCCGAACCTACGGGCTCGGATATCCCCCATTAAATTCGGCCTTGTGCTACATCTGACCGCGTGGGGCTGTTGGTAGATATCCTGCAGTTGGAGATTCATTGTGGAATTCACTTGACTCACTTCTAGCAGTTGACGACTTCTTCTACGCGCTGCTGGCGAATCTTATACGCGTTGTTTTTCTCCTAAGTATTATCGTTCATTACCAACCCTCGTGTGATTATTCAGTAACCTTCCCTAGGTTACAACAATTAGAATAATAGTTCGAAAATAATACAAAAATACTGACAAATACTTATCTCAGATGTAAAACACTAAATTGTGAAACAGGGTTTCGAATTAGAATTATATCTGCAAAGTGTGTATCAGTCATATGCAATAACGTATATATTTAAAATATGCATGAATGAATACGATTTGTTTGGTGGAAATAGATTTTTTTTTTAATTTCTATTGAATTTATGGAATATTTTAGTACTCTTAATGAGGGGATGTCTAAAGTTGTTATAGTTATTGTGGTACTTGTTAATGCGTTATTAATATCACTTTAATCAGAAAAATGCTATGTAAGCTGGTATGAAAGCGAGGTTGTTGTGTAACCTATATAAATCTATGTTTTAAATTTTATTTATAAATGAATTCAGAAGATAGAAATTTGTTTAACAATTAGCCAGAAACTAATCTTTTAAACAAGTTTTATTTAAAAGGATAGGATTTTTATGTATATTGAATTTATCTATCGTCTTTTCCGAAATATGAATAAGCTGGCTGCAGCAGATGCAAAATATATCCGAAATCAAGGTCGTACCCAAGGTTTCGACTCTCATGACTCATCTTCAGGAGTGTGAAAGAAAGAAAAATAAAGTGAAAAATGACAGAAGTCTTTTATGTAGTTTTATTTAAAGTGTCGTTTTAAATTGTAACGTATAAGCAACGTGCAAATTTAACATGTCAGATGCAAGGACGTCTATTTTTTTTATGTGCGTACCAATATAATTAATGTTTACTTGACGATATAGATGTATTATATATGTATATGTAGATATGTCTTAATCTTTTAAGAGGTTTAATAGATACGAAATAAGAGGTTTTGAAGAGAATAAAATAAAATGTCACGAGTAAAAAATAAAAGCTGAACCCGTTGTCTGTACATTTCTTTGTTTTGTTTTTTTTTGTTTGTTTTTTTACTCTTTTCTTTATTTTTCAATTTTAGTTCGTAGAACTTTTTTTTTTTGGGGCGCAAAAGAACAGATATTAGTTCTTCAAAACCGTCTCGCCATTATTCCGCGTATTTCGCTATGGACTCTCTTCATCATCGTTATTTTTTTTAGAGTAACGTTTTGAACGATAATTTATTTATTTTTTTTAATAATCTGCTATGTGTACGTGATCTGTCTGAAACGTGTCCAAACGTTTTGCATATCTCGACAACCGATTGCGCAGTCTTGATATAACTTGGCAACCAACCTTGCTTCGCAGGCGGGGAACAGGCCTCCTCAGTCGGAAATGAGACGCTTTTGAGTGATATTGTATACTGCATGAGCGTTGCATTTACGATCAATGACCGTATCTACTCTTCAAGTCTCGCTCAGTGCTCTTTACACTGTCAGCTACCAATACACAAACTACATTCCAGATTTTAATCCATACGATTTCTACCCTTTTGCGTTCTTATACCAGAATGGAATTTGCGCACAATATGACGCCATGCCATCAAGGGAATCCTGCTGCAGGGTCGGCCTGAAGCAAACACCCGGCCACCGAAATCAGACACACGTAATCTCGCAGCTGCAAACGTGGGGACATTATACGTGATAACGATAGATATATAAACAATCGTCAGAGAGAGGGTCTGAGTTGTCTCTGAGATATAGCAGACAAGAAGGCAAGGTTCGCAATCGGGTGATGACTCCTGAGTAAGGGGCCGAACCACACGCTAGCCGAGGGTAAGTGATGAAGTATTTATTTGAGTGAAATAAAATGTATTTTAAATATAAAAAATTCAATCATATTTTTTTTCAGTTAAAATGGCTGGACACTTTCCGGACAGTCCGCGTTCGTCACGTTTGCTTTTTATTTATTTTTTTCTTAATTTTCTATTCATCTTCCTCTTCAACCTAACAATTTGAGATGGTCATTAAACTATATTTTATTATATTATCCTTCACCCAACACAAAGCCCAAGAGCCCCCCAAAATAGAGGGTGACTGCATAATTTTGATGTAAGGACATAAAAGAGGGGAATATGAAATGAGTGGTAAGCCTAGTTGTCTGCTTGGCTGGGGCATCGACGTCCGTGACTGTAGAGGCCGATGCGGGTGTGACAATCTCTGTTGCAGAGGTCGCATGTGTTTTCTGTCTCTGGTCTGTTGGAGCTGTCACTTTGCGTACTGCGGGCCGGCCTTTGCGTGGCGACCTGTGTCAGCTTCTCCTCTTTTGACTTAACGTGTTTGGTTAGGCTTCCTCTCTATTTGGTATGGCAGCCAGGCTCTCCCAGGACTCTGTGTTGTTGTCCACAGCTTTCATGTCGCGCCTCACAACATCGCGGTACCGTAGCTGTGGCCTCCCGGCGGGTCTCTTCCCAGAGGCCAGCTCTCCATCATCTTTGGGGATGCAGCCATCTGATATGCGGTGGACGTGGCCAAACCAACGGAGTCTCCGCTGTCTGAGCAGTGTGATCATGCTGGGCAGACCTGCTCGATACAGGACGTCAGTGTTAAGCACCTTATCTTGCCATGATATTCCCAGGATGCGGCGGATGCTTTTCACGTGAAAGGTGTTCAGACGCCTTTCTTGCCTAGCGTACGTGGTCCAACCCTCGCTGCTATATAGCTGCTATATATAACACAGGCAAGAAATGAGTAATATAAAGATAAGTAGGATCTATATAACGGTTGATCGTAGGCTTGAATAGGTTAAAATCTTGGTGATCGAGGCTCGGATGTTGGTCCGACAGTATTGGAGAACAAGCTGATTGAGTGAAACTTCATCCTTACCAATGGAATACGAAGGGAATTAGAGTGAGACGACCCTGCGTATGTGGCATGGCGGATCCTAGCTGTGAAGTTCTCAACAGGTGGAACAAATGAATGTATTTTGTCTGAACATTTGCCATGAAAAAAGCGATAGAGTAGTGGGTCTCATTTGTGCGATAGGTGCTGTACGGTGGAAAATAATTCATCAACCGCAAGGCCGCGCATATGCCTTTGGACTCTTCCAAGGCTTCGTCTGTTTCAGTTCAAATATATTTTTAATCACTTCATACCAAACAGAACTATAAAACCACTAAAACGCAAGGGGTCACTGAATGTGAAAGAATATTAAAAAAAACTCTATTAAGAATAGAGAACAATAAAAGAACAAGAATTAAAAAGACAGAAAATAACGATAGACATTGCATTTAAAGTTTACAGTTGCTGGTATTCCCAAGCGGTCACCCATCTTGGTTCTGACCATTCTCGACGTTGCTTAACTTCGGTGGCTGTACAGGATATGGCAGTAAGCCTAGACATTATCAAATGCTTGATATTCACCATGCAAAGAAGCTTCTCTTCTTGAACCGTCGTATTTGCTGTTTTGACATCTGTGACAGTTCATGCAAATTAATATGCAATTAGTCTCGCCTTCCTCATAAAAATGCCTGAATTGTTTTAAAAAATTGTGTTCCGTGCCAACAGATGTTAATAATGTACCACTTCCCCGCTTTTAAATTAGCTCTTTGTCTTCATTTTATCCTTCGCACACACCTGTGACTAATACCTTCATTCCGGTGATGCTATGTGATATCTAGGGAATCTTTATTATTCATTTCTTGGCTAATCTAAAAAGAAAATTCTTGGCTAACA